TTGGCGGATATTGAACGGTCTCGGTTACCAGAAGGAAGACGCGATCTCTCAAAGGTTGAACGATCCACGCGGTGTCAGGCACCAGCGCTCGGATCGTCACGACCCACATTGGCAGTAGCCGACACGATGCACACGAGGTTGAGAAGAGCGCCCGCGACGCCGAGCCGAGCGCGATTCATAAGTGCGGCGCCTTCCGTCCGTACAGGCGTTCCGGATTTGTGCGAGCGGCGAATAATATTCCGAGCGAGAGCGCAATCGTGAGGACAGGCCACCCTCCACCTACAGCAGTCACGCAACATCAGACAATCGCCTGCTACCAGGTGCCCCACAGAAGTTCCTTGCCTTCCGACTGCTCTGGGAACCCACAGCAGCGAGGGGGCAGGTTCACAAAAGGAAAGGTATACGACAAAGGCGCCCCGATGTTCATCGTGGCAAGACTGCTTGCCGTATGCGTACACTTTGCTCGGAAACTGGAGCATATACATTACCAGTGCCGGGCTGTTGCTCAATCCTGGGAAGTTTTGAGGGTCGTGGACAACGTCGGGGTGGTGTGGTGCATACTTGTTTCCCCGCTCTCCCAGGGGAACAGCGGAAAATATATACACCAGGATGCCGTATACACCAGAATCGGTTTCCTCGTGCGGATTTCATTGCGGGGCCGGAAAAAGCATCGGTGCATAAAGTTCGGCTCCTCAGTTGCTTGTGGGACATCCTGAGCGTCTGGGCAGCAGCGTGCTCAGAAGCCACGCGCAGTAGGAGGGCGGTGTGTGTTTGGCCGACGTCCGTCCGCGTATGAGCTGTCGGCAGTCCGAGATCGTGGCCCGTGGAGGAAGAGGAAGGCATGAGCAAGAGGGCTGCGGTGACAGCGTGTCGCCGTCCGTGCGCGCAGCGGCCGCAGAATCGGACATGTGGGATCACACGCTGTGAGGAAGTCGCGGGCGTGAGCTCGACGATCAGAAGCGCCCGCCATCCATCCGTGTATGTGATGTACTGCATGTTCCGCCTCGAAATGTTCAATGTTTCGTGCAAGAGGTCGTCAGGCGAAACGCCCAGCCCGCCCCATCGGCATGCCTGCCGGTGCGACGAGGAGAGCTCATGACACGAATGGCGCAGAAGCAGGAGGAGGAGGGAGAGGTTGAGGGGAGTGAGTGGATCAGGAGCAGGAGCAGGAGGAGGGGGGAGCAGGACGAGGAGGCGATTGGGAAAGGGATGAAGGGAGGACGTGGAGGTTGAGGAGGACGCGTGGGACGTTTTGCAAAGCACAGCGCGCTGACAAGAGAAAGCAACACCTTGGCCAGCGAGACCTCACCGCAGGGTGGCGCGTCACTGTTGACGCTGCCTTGAATCGGGACCCCGCCAGATGCTGCGCAACTTCACACGGCCTAGCGTGATCAACAGTACAGACCGTCTTGACGGGACGCCCGGGGTCGGGGCGTTTGCCTTGCAGGATGCGCAGCTTACTCTCGCGGCCATTTTTGGCGAGGTCGCGGCACGACTTGGCTGACTACGCGCCTTCCACCGATGCTGTCCGCCCGCTTTCGTGACAGGAGATCGTTCTTTTAATACCCCTCGGGGGTAGCGCGTGTTACCCCCCCCCCCAGCCCTCCCCCCACCCCGTTACGGTAACGTTTGCAAACCGGGCACAGGCGTGAATCTTTGCAGATTCCAAAGGACATTGTAAGGAGTACACAGGCGTTTTGGCGCACGCAGGCATCGACGTGCACGCAGGGCCAGTGCATTGCGGTGTGCACGGGCGATGTGGTGCACGCAGGCACTGTGGCGTATGCGTACGTTGCGGTGCACATGCGTATGCGTACGTTGCGGTGCACATGGCTATTCGTAGTGTAAGCAGTCGTTTCGGGGTCCACAGGCGTTGTGATGTACGCATGCACTGTGGTACGCATAGGTGTTGTGATACACATGGTTACTGTGGTGTACACTGGCGTTGTTGCGCACGCGGCTGCTGCAGTGTACACAGGCACTGTGGTGTACACAGGCGTTGTGATGTACGGAAGCACTGTGGTGTGCATAGGTGTTGTCGTACACGTGGTTGTTGTAGTGTACACATGCGCTGTTGCGTACGCGGCTGCTGCAGTGTACACAGGCACTGTGGTGTACGGAGGCACTGTGATGTACGGAAGCACTGTGGTGTACATGGGTGCTGCGGTACACATGGTTGCTGTGGTGTATGCAGGCGACGTAATGCTGTGGTGCGCGCGACTGCTGTGGTGTACGGAGGCACTGTGGTGTACGCAGGCGGCGCTGTGTTGCACGCAGGCATTGGCATTGTCGTGTACACAGGGACTGGCACGCAGGAATTGGGCACTGTCGTGTACACACGGACTGTGGTGCAAGCAGACGATTGATTTGCTGGTGGCTCGAACTCACCCTGCCGGGTGCACGCCGCAGCCGCCGTTATTGTTACCCCCCCGCCCGCGCCCCCTCACCCCCCTCGGGCCAACACGCGTTACACCCAATGAATCAAAGAACGATCTCCAGAAGATCTGAGATCCCCGAGCTTCAAGTGTTGAGTGAGGTCGCCCACCGTCCCGGGCACCTCGATGTACTCGTTTTGAGTCAGCGGGCGCAATGGTGTGAAAGCGGTCAGGCGCTGGTCGGGCCACGGGCGGGACGCGCCGGCAACGAGTTGAGGCACGGCGAACCAAGAAAGAGAGGCGGGCCCCATCGACAGGCGCATCCCCGTCGGTCGGCAAGCTCGATGCTCTCTCGCCCCGTGAAGGCACGAAGCGTGTGCCGCAAGGTTTCTTGCAGCAAGACTTCTCTCATCGTAGGTGACGATCGTAGGCGCAGCCCCGTCGGTCAGGGCGCGGCCGGCGGCAGTCCTCGAGAGGGCGTGCACGCGCAGCCGAGAGAGACCGCACGGCCGACACCGCCCAGCGCCCTCCGCACTTCCCAAGGGGCTGTCGAGCACTGGCCCCGGCCCGAGCCGCGCGCTCAGAGCTGCGCCCCTCGCCGAGCCCGCTCGGAGGGCGTGTCTGTGGTTGCTGCAGGGGCGTCGGCCAGGATCTGCCGTGGAGGCCTCCGCCAGGGCTCCGCGAGGCTCGTCGCCGAGTCGGCACTCCTCCTCCTCCTCCTCCTCCTCCTCCTCCTCCTCCTCCTCCTTCTCCTCCTCCTCCTCCTCCTCGCGAGGCTCTTCGCCGAATCGGCACAGGGGTGGCGGTTCGAGCGTCGGATGCGGATCCCGAAGGGCAGCGGTGGCCCGACAGGGCGTGGCAGTCCCAAGTGCCACGGGCCGTGGCTGGTCTGAAAGGTTTGGCGTCCTCGGGCGCGTCCACGTGTGAGGACGTCAGCTCCATCGCGACGGGAGCAGCGCCCCTCTTTGAAACGGGCGCCCCATGCGCATCTACTCGTCTCTGTTCCCCCCCCACCCCCCATTCTCTCACCCGATGTTGCTCCCATCCGATGATTCGTTGGCTTGTGGTCGTCAGCGACATGGACTCGGCCAGTGGCGCTTTCAAGACGGAGGGCGGAAGCGTGCGACCTTGACCAAGTCGCAGCTTGAGACAGGCCAGCTGTGTTCGCGGAAACCGGGCGAACGGGTGACGCGCTCCTCGCCACGGCAGGTTCGCGCCGCGTCAACGCGACGGCGACGGCGACCCCAGCGCGGACGCTCAAGGTTAAGCGCCACCAGTTGGTCCGGAATCAGACGAAGCCTCGATCGGAAAGCTTCCCGGTCAAGGTTGAAACGCTCCACGCGGTGTCAGAAACCAGCGCCGACGGTGTCGCGGCACGAGCCTGCCGCAACAAAAACGCGGCGATCAGTAAAAGCAGTAGAGGGGGAGGAGGGCGGGGGAGGGGCCCGTGAAGAGTTCCTCAAGGCTGCCATATCGCACGGAGCGAAGTTGGCAAAAGGCGGTTCGGACTCGGATTTCGGGGAGCGGTTCTGAGATAAACTTGTTCGAGGGTGAGCGCTTCTGTTCAAGGCCTTTCGGCATCCTTCCGCGAATTGCCCGCTGCAGCGCAGCAAAGCGAATGGGACAGTGGAGGGAAAAGGACGATCCTGAGTGAGCGGAGGAGGAGGAGGAGGAGGAGGAGGAGGAGGAGGAGGAGGAGGAGGAGGGTGAGCAGGCGGAAGACAGAGGAGGCGGGAGGAAGACGAAGAGGGAGCGGAGGAGGAGGAGAAGGAGGAGAAGCAGGACAAGGCAGGAGGAAAAGGGATGGGGAGCGCTTGAGGAGGAGCAGGAAGAGGGAGCGGCGGAGGAGGAGGAGGCGGAGGAGGGTACGAAGGAGGAGGAGGAGAAGTAGGAAGAGAGAGCGGAGCAAACATAGGATCGAGGATGAAGGGGACACAGAACTCCAACGTCGTGATTAGTTCACACCGTGGATCCTCTGGAGGACTGGAACCCTTACCCGGGACTGGTTGTTCATCCCGAGTCTTTTTGAGCTGGTCCCAGGCCCAAGCTGACAAAGGCGTGCCATCGGGCTTTCCCACGACGCGAGGGGGTCTGGGGAGGAGCAGGGCGAGGAGGAGGAAGAGGAGGATAAGGAGGAGGAGGAGGAGGAGGAGGAGGAGGAGGAGGAGGAGCCTGAGATCCGACGCTGCAAAGAAAAAATCGGCTTCGCGAGAAATAGCAACCGGAGCCCTGTACCCCTTCTTTCTGGTGCATCTGCCGAGCCAGATCGATCTGTGATGCTGCTGGGGCCCGAGGCCCGGCGAGAACGCAAAAGAAGCGCGACGCGCGGATCTCAGGGAACGACGACTACGACGACGACGACGACGACGACGACGACGACGACGACGACGACGACGACGGCACCCGACCTCCAAAAAGCGTCCTCCTCTTCCTCCTCCTCATCATCATCATCATCCTCATCCTCATCCTCCTCTTCCTCCTCCTCCTCCTCCTCCTCCTCCTCCTCCTCCTCCTCGTCCTTCTCCTCCTCCTCTTCTCCTCCTCCTCCTCTTCTCCTCTTCTCCTCCTCCTCCTCCTCCTCCTCCTCCTCCTCCTCCTCCTCCTCGTCCCCCCCGCGCCCCCCAGGCGCCATGCGGAAGGGCGAGGCCGCCCTCGCGACCGTGCAGGAGCGCATCCAGAGCATCGAGGCGCGCACGCGCGCGCGCCGTGGGCCCGCGGCGGGGCGCCTGCTGAGCCCCCTGCGGGGGCCCTTCGGCAGAGGGCTCTCCCTCACAAGACCTCCGGTCCTCCTCCTGCTCCTGCTGCTCCTGCTGCTCCTGCTCCTCCTCCCCCTCCTCCTCCTCCTCCTCCTCCTCCTCCTCCTGCTCCTCCTCTCCCTCCTCCTCTCCTCCTCCTCCTCCTCCTCCTCTCCTCCTCCTCCTGCTCCTGCTCCCTGGGGGGCCCAGGTCAGACCTCCCGAGACCGCCGATGAACTCCTTTGTTGGGCCGCGGTGCGTCTACCTCATTTCGGTCTCTGGGGGGCGCTTTCGGGCCCCAGGATCGTCAAAGACGGATCTGGGATGGAAACTTCTCCAGGGGAAGCGGTCGGGAGTTCTGGGGCCCCACATTGACCCTTCCCCCAAAAAAATGTCTTAGTGCACAGCGAGCGAGCGAGAGTGCTCGAAAATATCGGGTTGGGTCCAGAGATTTTCGGGTCCAGAGACGTTTGGGTCCAGAGACCACTCGAAAGTATTGGGTCTGATGCCGTTCTGCGTTTCCAGCCTTCTCTAGGGCACGCATCCCGGAAAGAGAGATCCAGGGTTCGAGTTTTGAGGGAGGAGGGCCATTCACGAGATTCGCACATCTGTGGAGGTTCATGATTCGAGGTTCGATGACCGAAGTTGGAGCGTCGAGGTTCGAGATGTTGGGGCGTTCTTGATGCCTTTTCGAGCCTCCTGGAGGGGTGGGCTCGTCCCACTGCATGAGTTCCCCCCGGAATTCTGGTCAGGGCATGGGTTTTGAGCGGACATCCAGAGACTCGAAAATATCGAGTCCACGGCTTCTCTGCGTTCTCGGCTGCCGTGTGCCGCTGTCGGGTATTGGGACCGTCCAGGCTACTTTTACTCGGGGTGCAAGACCAGTCCTGGGGACCGGGGGTCGAGGTCCGAGGCTCCTCATCGTCCCTCCTCCCTGCTCTTCTCTGCCTCCCTTCTCCTCACTTCTCCTCCACGGGCTGATGGCAGCCGACTTCTCGGCAAGCGTCGCAGCTCGAAGTACGTCGCAGAGGTCGCACGACCACTCACGCTGTTCCAAAAGAGTGCTCAACCGTAGTTGCGTGCGTCTTGTTCCTACAGCACCATGACCAGGTGATGGGTTCGAAAAGTACCGTGTGACGCTTGCCGCGCGCGCCTGTGTCAGAGCCTTTTGTCACCAATATTTGGGTGCTGGCCGCACTGACGGAGTATGTCGCAGCGTCTCGTGGTCGAATGTCGGGATGGTCTATCGGATATTGGTGTGGATGCCGCGTATGTTTGAAGTATGTGCAGCGCACGCGGACAATTGGCACGATGCTTAAGAACAGCCCTAGTTTCGGAAGGGTACTCTTATGCTCTCGGTGCTTCGGCTGTCCGCCTCTGGATGATCTTCGCTTGGTATCCGTTGGGCATTGTGTTTTCGGCGAAGGAGCTCATGATCTTGCCCCATGTCGTGTTAGCAATGTTTCAGCTGTGTCACGGTCAGGGCAGTTTGCTTGGCCTGTCGCGCCGCCGGTTTTGGTCCACCGCCCCTCGGCGCGACACGCTAGCCACATGCCAATTCTCAGGCGTCAGCGGCCTCCTCCTCCTCCTCCTCCTCCTCCTCCTCGCCTCCGCCTCCTCCTCCTCCTCCTCCTCCTCCTCCGTCTCCTCCTCCTCCTCCTCCTCCTCCTCCTCCTCCTCCTCCTCCTCCTCCTCCTCCTCCTCCTCCTCCTCCTCCTCCTCCTCCCCTTTCCCAGCCTCCCTCGGAGCGGAGCGACACGCTCTCACTTCGCAGGGCATGGCGTGTCGCCAGGGCCGCCGCCACACGCGAAGCAAGCGGTCCCGATACTGGAGTATCTGGCCGTACGTCTGCATCAGCTGCAGAGGAGGAGGAGGAGGAGGAGGAGGAGAAGGAGGACAAGGAAGAGGAGGAGGAGGAGGAGACGGAGGAGGAGGAGGAGGAGGAGGAGGAGGAGGATGAGGGGAGGAAAGGAAGAGGAGGAGGAGGAGGAGGAGGAGGAGGAGGGGAGGAGGAGACGGAGGAGGAGGAGGGAGGAGGAGACGGAGGAGGAGGAGGAGGAGGAGGAGGAGGAGGAGGGTTTCCGTTTGTTTGTGCATCGTCAGCCTCCAGCTTGCCCGCATCGCAGCCCTCGCCCTGACATCTTGGGACGGGCGGCAGTCTCGCATGCCTGGGAGGAGGGAGCAGGAGGCGAGGGGCTGGGGGGCGAGGAGAGAGGCGGAGGAGGGTGAGCAGGAGTACGAGGGAGGACGTGTCGAGATAGATGTTCGAAGGTCCGCGCGGATTTGTTGGATCTGCGCTGGACCACTCTGGCGGCGTCTCCAGCGCCGCCCCTGGCGCTCTCCGCGCGCCGCGGAGACGGGTCCAGCGCCGATCCGAGAAATCCGCGCGGACTTTCAAGCGATTCTGTTCTGTCGTTTGTTCTTCTTCTATCGGGGGAGGAGACTTGGCCCGAATCAACACATAGTCTGTCATTGGGCCCTCCTTGGGTCCATCTTGACCCATTTTTCGAGGCGGATCCAGCCGTGGCGGCGAGTAGCGTCCAGGAGGCCCAAAAAAGTCGAAACATCACCAGAGAGGGCCGCCGGTGTCTCACCTGGCCCTCCTCTGGGAGAAGGAGGAGCGGCGGCGGCGGCGGCGGCGACGACGACGACGACGTCGACGACGACGTCGACGACGGCGGCCCTCTTCGCCCCCAGGCCGACGTCGACAAGGCCAAGGAGGACGAGCCGGCGGCCGCGGCGAAGGCGGCAGAGCCGCGCATGCGGTCTGGCACCCTCCCCCTATGGGCCACAGCCTCGTCATCACCATCATTATGTCGGGCGTGTCCCCCTACAGGGGGATTTTCGACGAAAAATAAGAAATACCCCAAAAATACCCCCAAAAGGCAAGAAAATGTTTTTAAAATAGTCCCCTGACTATTTTTGGATTAGTTTTTGATTATGTTTGGGGTATGTTTTATGTTTCGTCGAAAATCCCCCTGTAGGGGGACAGGCCCGACTTAACACCATCATCACAATCATCATCAGGGCAGGTCGGTTCCGGGCCATGATGGTATCCCTTGTCCTGCTCTGCTCAACGACCGCGTCACTACTGAGGCGCTTGCCGAAGTGGCCGAAAGATTGTCATCAGGGCCTGCCTCCGTTTCTTTTCCATTCCCTTTTCCAACCTTGCCGCGCCCCCCGAGGGGCAGTATGCGTGCGGACCGCGTTGAGACGGTGCGCTCGCCCGACCTGCGCCCTCTCAGTGGACGCAATTCCTGCACCAATCCTGCACCCCCTCCTCTCCCCACGCCTCGCCCGGCCCACATGCCACGGCCATAGACGACAGCGCCGCCACAACTGCGGAGGCGAGTGTGTGTGTGTATGTGTGTCAAGTGGCTGGTTCGTTCTCGAGGGAGCTGAAACGCCACGCCGTGCTCGCCCGACCTGCGCCCCCTCGGTGGACGCAGCTCCGACGCCCAGGCCACCGCCGGCGGGCACGCGCACGCGCGAAGCTCCATCGGGGGGTGGCACACGCTCGCCCCGGAGGAGCAGCGCGGGCCCGCGGAGCACCAGCACCTCACCGACGGCATCGCGGAGCCAGAGCGCACACGGCTCAAGCCTCACGTCGGGCCCGTCCTTCTACAGGATGAATATCCAAACATAGTCCACAGATACTCTGGGGACGAGCTGTTATCCCAGTTGTGACTATGTTCGAATGTTGTTCGGCTATTGTTTTACCTTTCGCCCAAAATCCGCCTGTAGGGGGGCATGCCCGACCTAACTCAAGGCTCGTTCCGCCCGCTGGGGTGTTTCCTCTCCGCCGGGGTCGCGATGGACTGCGGCACGGCTTCCGTCTCAGTGGCGCAGTCGCGGCTCCCCTTGGTTCGACCGTCCCCCAAGGATGGCCCGACTTCCTCTCGTGCCTCTTCCACTCCATGTGCGATACCACCCGCTTCTATGACCGACGCGGGCGGTTTTTTGGGTCCCGAGCCGTCAACACGGCACCTGGGTGCTCCAGGGCGACCCGCTCAGTCCGTTGTGCTTTGCTCTGGGCACCGGCCCCCTCGCGGCTAGTCGCAGGCCTAGAGGTTGACACCAACACCAATATCGGCGGTGCGCCTCCACCGAGGGCAGACCATCCCGATCTCGGTGGTGGTGGTAATGTTCTGGCTTCCAAGGCGACCGAAATATTACACCACCGACACCGGAATCTGGGGTCATCTTCCCCCTGTGGAGGCAGTGCCCCTGAGTTGGTGTTGGTGCCCATTCCCAGGCCGTCGAGCTAGGCCCCGCGCCGCGGTCGCGCGGAGAGGGGGATCTGTCGTCCCTGCGCGGACGACGCGCGCTCCAGGGCCAGAACCTGCTCGGCCTGGCTCCTGGAGGCGACGGGCCGCGCCGAGGAGCTCGAGGAGCGCGTGCTCGCGCCCCACGCGCTCGAGGTGTGCACCCCTGCGCTCGCGGAGGTGCTCCGCGAGTGGCCGGAGAAGCACGTCCCGGAAGGGTACACCACCGGCATCGAGACAGTGTTTGGGCACTTCGGCAGGCAGCTGAGCCCGTATCTGATGGCGGCGCAGTGGCTGAAGTCGACGAGTGAATTAAGTGCTTCTCGAGATGTTCTAGGCGTACGCCGCATCCGCCGACCCCTCGGTCGGGTTTTCCGCGGGACCGCCTGCCACAGCTTCTGTGGCTTGACCGGCTGGCTCTCACACAAGAGCGTGTTCGCAAAGGAACCGTGAAGTTGGCCTCTGGGAGGTTCCGGTGAAGTGCTCTTGGAGCCTCAGTGGGCGTTTTCGGGGCACACTGGCGGGCGCCCCGTCGACGCGGCGGCGACCCCAGCGCGGGCGGTGAGGGTTCAACGCCGCTGGTGGCCCAGAACCGGCCGATATCGAACGAGCTGCGTTGTCGGGAAGCCCCGATCGTTCAAGGTGGAACGATCCACGCGGTGTTGGAAGTCAACGCTGACATCGTGGTGACGCGAATCCGCCGTAGGACAACCAAGCTGGACGATGAGAGCACGCTGGTGCAGTTCTGTCGGCATCCAGCTGACGCGGCGCCGCTTTTCATGGGCTGCCAGCCTGCAAATTTACTGCTGACGAGGTGCTTGCAAACGGATCTGCAAGCATCGCTCCAGCGCGTATGCAAGGATGGAAAAAGCCAGGCCCCTTGGGGCGGGGCGGCCATTGGGCGACCCGACCCTGTCAGAAGGAAAGGGGGGTGAAACCTCAATCCTCACACCACTCCAGAAACTCTTCCCTCCCAAGGCGGAGCGCCTGACGCTCGGACAAGCGCTGCCAAAGCTGGGAGATGGAGATGGGGGAGGAGGAGGGTCCTGCGGGTGGCTCGGCGGGGGCACCTCGGAGGGGCCAGGGTCGCTCGAGGTGCCTCCTGGGAGGATCCCCCGCTGCCGCTTGCCCAGGTCCCTATTCTTAGGGTCTGGGAGGCACAAAGGATCGCGAAACTTCATAGCCCGACTAACCGCCATCGTTCCGCATCCCGAACAGTACAGCACAGGCACACCACAACCAACTGTTTGGGTGATCCACAAGGTGTGTTGGTAATCAGGGTTCAGCGCAGCACTAAGAACCGAATTCATGGATTCCGACAGGTTTAGGCACGCTGTCTTACTCAAGAGCTGGCTCCCGGACCTGTGGCAGGACACACAGCCCCAAATACCCCCGACACACACACACACACACACACACACACACACCGCACGATGCGGCACACCGACCTGGGGAGGCGGGGGCGGGGGCTGGGGCACCCGCTCAAGGGAACCGTATAGCGCTTTAGTAGGCGTCCACAAATCGAGGGTCGTGAACATATCTACAGCAACCTGTTTAGAATGCTCCAACCTTCGCTTAGAAGCTGTAACATCATCAGCAGAAAGATTATTCTTCCTAGCCGCATGTTTGGCCTTGCTGTCGGCATGGGCATTCCCACTGATATTCAGCAGTTCCTGAGGCGACAGTGCATCAGACACATCTCTGTGAGCCTTCACCTTCTGCAGATCAAGTTTCAAGTTTTCTGCGAGTCTCCAATACGCAGCATGTGCATTGCTATGACTGCGTGCTCTGAGTAGGTCGGTAACACCATCTATAAGACTTTGGCGGTCGACGTACAAGGGGGAAGATGCCTCTCTAGACCTACAGGCCCCGCTGGCAGCTACAACTCCTAAATGTTCTGCTGCCGGCGCTGTCTGGTTGAGGGAGGACGGCATGAGGCCCTGGATCCAGCGCAGGAGGTCCCCGTCTTCATAGACCTGACATACACAGCAGCCTGCACGAGCCACACCAGGTTTATCCCCATGAAAGCAACGACCATCAGAGAATAGATAACCTCCTTCTGGAAAGTCAAAGGCATCTACATCTACAGATTGCCCGTCTCTATATTCAAAGTACTGAACATGCATGTCTTCGACGGGGAAGGACGTCAGGATAGGAGTGGGCATCCAGAGGTGGGTGGAGAGCGGGTCGTTCTCGCCCTCGTGCTTCGCCATCTCCAATATGTCCTAATCAATGAAAGAGCGTGTTCTACCGCTGCTGGCGGAAAACCGGGGGGGGTCACTACCGGTTCGAACCCCTCCCCCCCCCCCCCCCTCCGGAAAACCGGGGGGGGTCACTACCGGTTCGAACCCCTCCCCCCCCCCCTCCCAGCTCATTATGAAAGGGGGGGGGTGTCACTACCGGTTCTCGAACCCCTCCCCCCCCCCCCCCCCAAATCCGGATCGGAAAACCGGGGGGGTTACTACCGGTTCGAACCCCCCCCCCCCTCGAAAACCGAGTGGGGGTGCGGACAGTGGTGGGGACGGTGTTGGTGGGGACAGTGGTGAGGGGATAGCGGGACAGTGGTGCAGACAGTGGGACAGTGGGACAGTGGTGGGGACGGTAGTGGTGGGGAGAGTGGTGGGGACAATGGTGGGAACAGGGGGGACAGTGGACAGTGGTGGTGACGGTGGTGGTGGGGACAGTGGTGTGGGGACAATGGGAATGAGGTGGAAACAGTGGGACAGTGGAGGGTACAATGGTGGTGGGGACAGTGGTGAAGGCGGTGGCGAGGACGGCGGTGGGACAATGGGACTGAGGTACAGTGGGGACAATGGTGGGGACAGTGGGGACAGTGGTGGGAACAGTGGGACAGCTCAGTGGGACAGCGGAGGAGTCAGTGGGACAGTGGGGACAGTGGGGATAGTCGGGCAGTGGTTGGGGCCGTGGAGACAGTGGGGAGAGTGGAACCGTGGTGGGAACAGTTCTGGGGACAGCGGGGACAGTGCGACAGTGGTGGGGCCACTGGGGACAGTAGGGGCGTTGGTGGAACCAGTGGGGACAGCGGTGGTGAGGACAGTGGTGCTGGGAACACCAGTGGGGGATGTGATGCGGACGGTGGTGGGGACCGGGAGTCGTTTGCTGGCGGTGAGTGGGTTCGAACCGGTAGTGACCCCCCCCGGTTTTCCGGATCCGTAGGGGGGGGGGGGGGGGGAGGGTTCGAACCGTAGTGACCCCCCCCGGTTTTTCCCGAGCGGGAGGGGGGGGGGGAGGGGTTGGGGAGGGAGGGGTTTTTGCCGGGGGAGGGGGGGGGGGGGGGGTTCCAGCAGGTGGGGGGTGGGGATTTCGAGGGGGGGGGGGCGACCCCCGGGCTTCGGAGGAAAAGGCTGGCAATTTTCCACAGTAAAGCGGCGGTGGATCACGCTCTCTCTAATCAATGCCCTCACGGTCGGGTTCCAAGTGTGGACATGTCCACGCTCGATGGTGTATATTGCCTGGTGC